GCTGTTGTACAAGCTCCTCCACTCTGTTCAGCTCCCTCCCTGCTTCTCCCTCATCTCCCCCCAGCTCCCTCCTCTCTCCAAAAACTCGCATTGCCCTTCTCTCCCCCCTCAGCCTTCCTTCCCTGCCTTTTCCTGCTCTCCCACTGCTGCATCACCACCACCTTGCTATCAGCGTTGTCACTTCCCACCATAACTGCTACCTCCCGCTTAGCTGTATTGCATCTTGTGCCCCCTCCCAATGTCCATCTGTTCGTTCTTTTCTGGAGCCCTCATTCCAACTCCAGCGAAGTCACCACTTACCTTGTGCCTCAGTTCCTTGCTGAAAGGCAGTTGGTCCTTTGGGCTCAGTTTGTGTGAATTCCCTTGCTTCTTCCCTCCACCGTGTGAAGATAAGATTGCCATGAGCCACCTTCTCTACCTTCTCTTTGGCTGCCTGTTCTGTGTAGAGTCTCTTTTTGCCCATTCCAGATACTGTCATGTGCTGTCCTTCTACTTCTCTGACAGCGAAGTCCTAGACCTCCCTTCTGTCTCAGGGATTTTAGCTTCTATGCTAATGATGGCCTGACTCCAGGGCTGCTTGCTGCCTCCATCGTCCAGCTCTGGCGCACACCTCCATTGGCTATGATCTCTGCCTCTATGTCCATCAACTTAATCTTCACCAAACACTGCTGTTCCCAAGTCCTGTTCTTCAGGATCCCCTCTTGGATCACTACTGTACCTTACTCACCGTGGTTCTCCTGTCTTTTCCTCCCCTCTCCTCCCCAGTGTTTCCTTCGGGCAGGGTGCTGCTCTGCTGCTTTTGCCCTCTCCTCCTTTCCCTGACCACACACATGTTGTTCACTCCATGCTTATAGTCTTTAGCTGCTTGATTTTTTTGGCATCCACCATTCCTCCTGCCAGGCCATCCCCCGCCTCCTGCTCTCCTTATTTTTGCTGTCTTCCCCTGGCTGTCAGACTTCTCTGACCATAAGTTCACCATTTCTTGGCTGCTTTTTCCCCTGCCCCACACAGTACTACTTCTCTGCCCTATCTGCACTGCATGTGCTTCCTGGCTACTGTGCAACAACCTTCAGCCATGCAGTTCTTCCATCCTAACCTTGGTGTGCCCAGAAGAGGGGGGCAGCTGGGCATACCCCACCCACCTGTTACTGCTCACAGGTGCCAAATCCAGAAACGCAGCAGTGGAACGGCTCTGGGGGCTTCCCAGTGGCTGCTTGCAGACAAGCTGGAGGCTGAGGCCTCAAACTGTTGTGACAGTGTCCCAGGCTGACTTCACTGCTGTGTTTCCGTGTTGGGTGCAGCCCAGGGGGAGCGTGCAGGGAGGACATCCTCAGGAGCATCTTCCCCTGCCAGGATTGCAGGTTAGGCATGCTGTTTCTCGTCCCATTCTTCTTTGTACTGTGAGGACTAGTTGTCCTCAATCATGTATGGAGATAGTTCCATCATCCTTTGTCCTCTCTTCTTGTAGAGAACTTTCCTGTTCACTACCCAGTGCCTTGCTGCTTGCCTTCAGTTTTATGTGGTTGACTACCAAGCTGTGCAGAGGAGTGGTGGTGTGGAGACCATACAGGACCTTTTGCCTGACCCCATTCCCAGTAATGTCCTAACTATTTTTCAGTAGCTTCAGTGATGGTGCTGTTGTTTCTTCTTTTGCTAATTTGCTTCTGTACTTAGTTGATCTTAGCTTACTCCTGGAAGGCAGAGTTACCTGTCTCTTCCCTGCGTGTTGTGTATCTAATGACAATACCCTCAGATCAGGGAGGAATACATCTGGGTCTCTGCTTCACCTGGCTTTATTCATCATTCTCATGTCTAGTCCCGATCATCCCTTACCTTTCTCAAGCACAAAAAAATTCTTTTTACACAAAGCTAAATGGACAATATTTTATTAAGTCATTTTGTTTCACTAGAACTTGCTCGGTACTAACACTGTATATCTGCATTAAAGTGAAACAGCATTCATGAAGGTGAAAGTAAGGATGCAGCTCAACTTTGCTTGTAAACCTTTGTTTGTTCACTCAGCATTGTCAAAATGGTCCTTCTGGGCTGGCACATCACATACTGGGGCTTAATTCAAAAGTGAATTTTGTTTTGATGTTTAAGCCCAAATATAGTTATGAATTTTGCATTTGAGAGGTGGAAATATTTTTCAGCTTTCTAAAAATAAAATAATTAAACTGTTTTACGTACAAAGGACTCAAGTGCCAACCACAAAATGTTGGTAGTGGTTTTGCTGTGTATGTGTCCCAGTGTTCGCTGTTGTATTAAATGTACTTACATATTATTGATTTTGTACATACCAGGCAGGAGAAGGAGGCGTATATCCGAGCGAAATACGTGGAGAGAAAGTTTGTGGCTAGACATCTGGCATCAGTGTCTCTTCCTGAGGATGGAGCGAGTGCTGTGCCGCAGCACCAGGAGGAGAAAAGGCACAGCAGCTCTGAGAGATCCCCTCAGGCAGACAAACATGGTGCCACGTCTCCTAAAGGTACTGATTCTCCTCTGGCCTTTCACTTGCTAGCACATCCTTTTTACATGTTGCTGGCATTTTTGTAGTTACTGAACTGCACTCTCAGTACAGAGAAACCAGAATGGTCTCAGTTGTTCAAAGCCTGTTTTAGACCAGGAGGAAATAGTGTTTCTTTTTAAATGTCAACTGTGTGACTTAGGAGCAGGGGATTTGTAATTCCAAAATGTACTAACAACCTTCTCTCCTCCTTATTTTTGTTGTCCTAAACTTTTCCAATGCTGTTCTCTCCTGCCCTCTTCCCTCCTTACTGCCTGCTTTGTGCTTTGCTAACCTGCATGTCCCCAGCGGTTGCTGTAAGTAGCGACGAGGCAAGGCGGGAGTCTCTGTTCTGCCCTGATGAGCTAGATTCACTCTTCTCCTACTTTGATACCTCTTCAAAACTGCGTAGTAGTAAGTACGACTGTCACAGTGGGTCCAGCGTCTGCAGTAGTGGTCCATTGTGTGGTGTGACCATCTCTGTGCCTTTTAATGCATTGTCTCCACGCTCCTGCACTGCTTTGTATTTCATGAAATAATTTAAGCTTTTGACTTATCCTGACCTTGTCTCTTGCTGTGATGACATTTGTGGCATGAATTATTTGTTACAAGTATCTGGACCAAGAACAAATACCTTTTCTTTAAATAATAATTGGTAATGAATTCAGGATTAAGTGTAAGAGCTTGCTTTATTATCATGGTGTCTGTGCAAGGTGGGTGCATCAGTAGGTCATACTGTAATGACTGTTTTTCCTAAAAACAGTAAGAAGCAATGACAGTGGGATCCAGCAGAGTGCTGATGACAGTAGAGAGCACCTCGCGTCCACCATATCTGCTAACAGCTTGTATGAGCCAGGTCAGTTTGGCTTTGCCCTGAGAGAGCTTGGGGTTAAACAATTCCTTTTTCTGATGAAAAAAGCAAATTGCTACTACTACATTTACCTGAATCCAAGATGACGTTGAATTTAAGACAAACCCCTCCTGTTACATTCTATACATGAAAAAATGTACATTTGTTGTACCTTTCCATATATAGCAGATAAATTTAAGATGGTCCTCTAACAAATTGTGCCCTGCTCCTTCCCTGCCACCCCCCACTGCAGCAGGGAAAGCAGTGACAGGGGCAGGCGGTAGGGGAGGCAAGCAGTCAGACCTCCACCCCTTACCCTTCCCCCCCCATGCCTGCATCCCCTGGTGCTTGTCACCCGCACCCTTCCCCCAGAATCACTTGGCCCCTCTGCTTCCTGCCATTTCACCGCCTGTGCCCCTTCCTGGCCACTTACTCACTCCCTTTGCTTCCTGCCCACCCAGCACATGGTCACTCCGGCCCCAGCTCTAGCCAAGCAGTGGCTCAGGCCCAAGCCAAGCAGCAGCAGGGGCAGTAGTACAAGCTCCCTGCCGCCTGCCTCTGGACCCACTGACCCATCCCTGACCCACGCCGCTGGCCCCAGACCCACTGCAGCTGCTGTCTCCAGGTAGCAGTCATGGCAGCAGCCCCAGCCCAGGGCAAGCTCCGGTTAGAGCTGGAGTTGGAGCCACAGCAGCCACCTACCTTGGACCAGTTCTCAAATCCAAGACGAGGCTCCTCCTCCCATTCTATCCCATCCTGTCCCCCTCCATGTTGAATAGGTTAAAAAAAATCCTCACCTTGGAGTCATGTAAATATGGTAGATGGTCCTGGTGCAGAGGAGCCTATCCAGTGCCTCTCCTGTCCCTCCTGTTCCAAGCATTGGTTCAATGTAGGTAGAAAATTGCTGCAAAGGAACTGCAAAATGGGAGAGGAGGCTGGGAAAAGCTGAGGGTAGTCTTAGGAAAGCAGCCGAATCCTCCTGAGTCCAGTGGTTAAAGCCAAATTGGATTTTTCAGTCAGAGTACTTAACAGTCAAAGCAGAGCATTGCCTTCTCGGAAGGAAAGCTTCTGGCAGTGAGAAACCTCTCACCTTAACTGTCTTTAAAGAAAATGCAAGGAGGTCTCTCTCGTTAGTGACATCAAAGCCCACAAGAGGCTTATTTGTGTCTTCGTAGATGGACTTCGAACTAGCTCAAACCATAGAATTTACATACTCCTGCAGTTTTTCTCTGTTGGCTTGTTTTTATTGCTGTGCTTTCAACTCAGACATATGGGATGCATTTTTTCTTGAAAACCTGCTCTTTTTACTCAACATCTTACTACTGGGGCTACTGGGAATGTCTTCATTATCTTGTCTTAAAATTCTGAGCCTGTACAAATGGGTTCTTCTGCTGTTCATTGCTGTCAGCAGAAGAAAAATAGTCACTAAAAAACACAAGCTGTCATAGTTAAGCACTATTCTAGACAAGTTAGGCAGTTTGTGGGTACAGTTCCCCAGGTGGAAGGTAATGGTCTGGGTCCTTTTGAATGCATTCGGAGACTAAAAGAAACGTACTGAATTTGATGAACTATGCCTTTTTAAAAACGTGTCCCTCTAGCTCAGAAGTGGTCTGTCAAACTTTATACCTCAAAACCTTACCAAAAAACTGAAAATAAAGTTAAATTTCAGCTCAAGAGGTGGAACATCCAGAAATCAAGTACCTGAGAAACAGTATCTTCCAATGAAAATGTGATATTGGAGCATTGTTATTGTTGCAAAGCTGTGGACCCTCAAACACTTCCTTGGAATCTTAATTAGAGGTTAAAACATGAAGGGCCAAATTCTTTGCTGAAGTGAATGGATCTATATGTATATAGATATCTACATAGATATATTAGTTCATGAAAATCAGGCCACAAGTCTAGGTGCCTAAACTTACATTTTTGCAAACAGTGACCTGAGCAGCTTGCCTGTGATGACAGAGCTTGAGGCCAACCTGGCTTTGATTGCTTTCACAGGAAAATAAAGCCCAAGCGTGAAGGTGGACCTTGGACCCAAAGACTACAAGCTTATTATCTTTAATGGGGTAAGGGAGGGCAAGCCACACTGACCAGGCATTTACTCAGTCCAACATGCTGGTGGCAGCCCTGTGTCAAATAACCAGCGCCCAGGGTGGCCCCTGGGTGCCTTCCCCCTAGGACATGGCTCACCTCTGAGTTGT